TCCCCCTCCCCCCTCCAATTGTCCTGTCCTCTCTGTCTCTCTCTCTTTTGGGAAGGGATGGAAAACCCCAAAGCCTGACAGAATGGAATTCATGTATTCATGAAAGCAGAAATTTCAGCTAGAAGGTTCCCTGGGGCTTATCTAGTTGGCTCTGATCGCTGCTTCCCCCCTTCTCAATTTACAGATAGGGCCAATGAGACCCCAAGAGGTCCAGTACCTCAGCGTCGATCCTCCAGGAACAGGGCAGGGGGTCAAGCTGCCAGCTCCTGACTCTATCCCTGGTGCCTTTCCTACTCTCCTCTTCCATCTTCTACGTGGGCATCAGAAAGCATCTGCCCTCCATCATTATGGCTGGTAGAAAACTTAAAAAGGTACCTGTAGATAAGGCAGACAGGAGAAAGCTGGGAGTCCCTCTGGTCCCCTTTCTCCTGGGCTCTGTGGCCATAGCTTTTTCATGAAAAGGCCCCTCTGGCTTTGGTGCCTTGTTCCTTTGGTCGCTGTTTGTTGTGGTTTTCCTTCCCTGAGAAATTTCTCTGGATTAGACTCTAGAGCAATTCCAGAAATGGACTCCAGGCTACAGAATTGACAAGGGAGGGGGATATGTGGAGGGGATAGTCCAACTGTCAGAAATAGGAGGGGGAGAAGCCCACGGACGGTGCTGCTAGTGCCTGTCCTGAGGATTGAACGGCCATCCCCAGGGGTGGCAGGCCTCGCTTTACGCACATGCTGCCAAAGGGGAAATGGCCAGGGCAGACTGGGAGACAGGAGGGTTTATGACTCTTCTGGGTCCTGGCTGCAGCAGCAGCAGCTGGAAGGACTCAGCCCCTTCTGATTGAGCTCTCTTCCCACGTTCCTTGTTTCCAAGATGCTCAGAAATCACTCTCTTCCCGGTCCAGCTGCCTGGTGAAGGGAAGGGGGTGCTGTGATCTCCTCTTAACCTAAGAAGTGGTTGGTGTAGGGTGGAGGGGTCAAATCCTAACCTCCAGGCCCCCATAACGCTCCCAAGTATGACTGAGCCAGATTAAAATGGAATTGGGGAATATTCAACAAAATAAATGATCACAAGGTAGAACAGATAATGGTAACAAGTGGTTTTCTAAGTCATTCTGTGGTCCCGCCGGGGAGCTCCGTGTCCCGTTTTTGAGTAGCTCTCGTTTCTATGCGAGTTTGACATCACTGGTGTGGTGGAAAGAGCCCTAGGCTTGCCATGAGGAAGCCTTGGGTTCAAATCCCGCTTCTCACACTTACTATCTTATGTGACTCCCCCAGCCTTAGTTTCCTCCCCTGTAAAATTAGATTCAGTGCACACCGAGGTCCCCTCTAGCTCTGTTCTCTGAACCTGAACCCTAGAAACCTCTTGTTCTTCTGAATCTGGGGCTAGACAGAGCCCAGATCACACCCGTCCTAGATTCAGCAGGTAAAAAAGTAACCTAGCACCTGCCCTCTCTTGTTCCACGTGGGACTTCCCTGCAGCCCTTCTCCACTCTGAGGGAGGCAGTGTGGTTCAGTAGAACAGGAGTCTACTACTTACTGAACGGAGTGGTCTTAGGTAAGTCACCTCTCTAGGACTCAGTTACCTCCTTTGTAAGATGAGGGGGTCGGATTAAGGGACATCTTCCAGCTCGAAGCCTGTGATCCTGGCAAACTGACAAGCGTTGGCCTTCAGTGATGGCCAGTGAACAGATGACCCGCAATGTCCGAGGCTGTCTCTGTTTGCGATGATCAGAGCTGACCTTTACTGAAGACTTTGCATTCCCTCTCTGGAGCTTTCTAGCAATGCTGTGACGTGAATGCCTTGGGGATTCATTATCATCCCCAGTGGACAGATAAGAAGACTAAGGTTTAGAGAGATGGAGGATTGCCCAGGATTCTCGTTCTCCTTGACTATCACGAGTGGAATTTGGTCCAAGGTCCTCCAGGAGTATGGAGCACATTATGTGCTCTGCCACCCTGCTGTTTATTAGGGAGACTTCTTTCTCCTAGGACCATCTCCTGCTCCCTGACCCCCAACTCCTCCCCCAGCCTTTCTTTCAAAAACAGGCATCAGCAAAGTCTGTGGGAATATGCTGACTGAAACCAGGCATCCTTTCACGTGCTGGGGGTGATTCCACGTCTACGGTTTCATGCTCTTAATTTCCTAGAGAAATCAAACCAAGCCGGTGCCCTTTGGCTGGTCCGTTCGAGCAGCTCCTGTCTCTGGGCCTTTCCACTGACACCCTGAAGTGGTTAGGATTTCAGAGGCAGGCCTGGGCAGACAGAAGGGAGCTTGTTACACTACTATGGGCAGAGCTGGCATTCCCACATGGAGGGGCGGGGTAGGGCGGTTCGGGGGGATCAGCTAGCAGGCTCCTCTGTCCATGGCATTGGACGAACCTGACCGTCTAGCAGTCTACCAATGGTGTTTTGTTCTGGCTTCATCCTAAACCAGGGAGCTCAGCCTTCTGGCCTGTCCTTTACTTTGTGGAAGAACACCCTTGTTGTCGTCCCCCCCCCCACAAGATGAGAAGAACATTGATTATGCTAAAGAACTTAGACCTGGCAGCAGATAGGCAGCCTCACACCCCCTAACTCTCCCTGCCCCATCCATTAGACTATAAGACAGACCACCGCATTCATTTTGTCTGGTCCCCAGGAGAGACCAGATTGCCCACAACTAGAATTACACGGGGCCAAGAGAGTTAGAACAGGGATGAAATCCACCATGAATAGGGAACCAAGATTCTGCCTTCTGCTGCAGAGAGGGTGAAACTGGCCAGACGTGCAGGTTGGTAAGCATTGCTGTGGAGAGAGTGCCGTGCGGGGTTGGCTTTCCATAAAAAGCTGCAGGGGGCACACAGGTAGGATGTGGGGGCTGTTGTCTAGGGACTTCTCTCAGATTCTTCATTTTTTATAGGGAGTCATGGAAATGGGGCTAGAAGATCCTCCCAAAGGCCAGTGAGCAGCTGCCTCTGCTCTCTGGCAAGGGCTTTCTGTCAACTTGGTCTACACTTTGTGCTATTTAGCTATGTGTGTGGTGCATATTGCTACCCCTACCTTATGAGAATGTAAGCCCCTTGAGGGCAAAGAGCAATCCTTATTTCATTTTTGACTTCTCCCTAGTGCCCAGTACAATGCCTGGTAGAGCCCCAGTAGCTTGCTGAAGTAAATTAATTTGATTCTCATTGAATGTGGACTCAAAGATAGGCAGGTATGCATATAGCACCATACCTGGCATCCACACAGAGGGGAAGGCTTGCAGAACACTTCCCTCACAACAACTGTGGAGTAGGCAGTACCAACTTATCCCCATTTTATGGATGAGCAAACAGGCTAAGTGCTTAACTATGATTCTACCGCCAACATTGGAGGCAAGAATCAAGCTGAGGTCTCTCCTGATTTCAAGCCCTGTGTTATTGATTCCACCACAGTGTTTGTCAAACATTGTGGTATCTGAACCCATCTACAATCTTAAAAAATATTGAGGACCCTCTCCCAGAGAACTTTTGTTGATGTGTGTCCTATCTAGCATTTATTTAGAAATTAAGATATCTTAATATAATTATAAAAATAATTTTGACCACCAGACCCCCTGAAAAAGTCTCAGGGATGCCCAAAGATCTCCAGAGCACACTTAGAAAATTGCATCTCTCTTGTTTGTCATTATATCTGTGCTCCTAGACACAAGTCTGTCTTCAGTGAATCATGTGTGGTGTGAGCACATGCTACATTGTCATGTGTATGTTTTATGTAGCCACGCCTATTTATGTGCACATATTTATGTGTGTGCTCATGCACATGCATGTGTATGTCTTTATATATGTTACATGTGTAAATGCAAAGATTTGCACCACATGTCTAAGTTTACAAGATGCATGCGTAAAACCATTTATAGCATGCATGTGCATGAGTGGTACATGTATGTGTACGCAGTCCTCTTTACAAATGCATATATAATAACATATATACACATGTGGTTTTTTCAGCAGTATGCTATTCTGATCTCTGGTTGTATGCTTAAGTTTTATTTGTATGGAGGTTGGGGAGGTCTAGACCAATGATTTCATTAGTGTGGCAAGTGTCTGGTGAGCTGGTGCTCAGCAGCTCAAAGAGTTTGCTGGGGATGCTGGGGATGGTGGGGAGGGGAGCTTAAGTGACTGGCCCAAGGTCACTCAGTCAGATTAGGTCAAAGAAGGGATCTGAACACAGCTGCTCCAGACCCCAAGAGCAGTGCTCCATCCACTGGGCCACACACAGAAGTCAAGTGGAGGCATGTTCTATGTGTAAAGGAGAGTATTTGTATATGAAAGGCAACCATAAAGTGCTCCAAATGGGGGCAATATTTTCAGAAGCAGGATTTCGGAGCCATGTTTAATTCCTGAAATAGAAATAGAAAAGTGGAGATCTCTGTACAAAGCTACGCCTGTGTTGATGTACTCCTACATGTTTGTGTGCACACGGTACTCCTACATGTGTGTGCATGCTGCACTCCATACATGTGCGTGATGCACTCCTACATGCATGTGTGTACGCTGCACTCCTGCATGCATGTGTACACGCTGTACTCATGTGTGCGCACATGCATGCATGCTTGTGATTAGGTTGAAGAACTCTACTTTACCCACTTTTGGGGGCAGCACCAGACTCAGAGGCCTGGGTTGGGTCACAGCTCTTTTTAAAAGAAATAATATTTTATTTGCTTCCCAGTTACATGTAAAAACAAATTTTTATCATTCTTTTTTAAAATGTTTGAGTTCCATAGTCCCTCCTTCTCTCCCTCCCTCTCTGGTCGCCACTCTTCCATTTTCTCCCTGTGACTTTAGACAAATCACTCTGCCTGTCTTTGGGCCTTCAGTTTCCTCTTCTTTAGAATGAGTGGGCTGCCCTTCAGTGATTCCTAAGGTCCCCTCCCAATTGTAAATCAGCTCTCCTGGGATCTTGGTCAGTTCAGGGAGCAAATTCAAACATTTGCACTAACCAGTTGCCCTTTTTTTTTTTTTCTTGTGTTGTGTTTTCCACCCCAGGCACTCCCAGGAAGACTCTGCACTTCGAGATTTCCAAAGAAGGTAGTGACCTCTCTGTGGTGGAGCGTGCTGAAATATGGCTGTTCTTAAAAGTCCCCAAGGCTAACCGGACCAGGACCAAAGTGACCATCCGACTCTACCAGAATCAGAAGCAATCCCAGAGCGGCTTGGATGGGGGAGATGAGGCTGAGGAGGTGGGCCTCAAGGGTGAAAAGAGCGAGCTATTGATATCCGAAAAGGCAGTTGATGCCCGCAAGAGCACATGGCATATCTTCCCAGTCTCCAGCAGCATACAACGCCTATTGGACCAGGGCAAGAGCTCTCTGGATGTGCGGATTGCCTGTGACCAGTGCCAGGAGACAGGTGCCAACCTGGTGCTGTCGGGCAAGAAGAAGAAGAAGGAGGAGGAGGGAGAAGGGAGAAAGAAGGAAGCTGGAGAAGGTGGAGTAGGAGGAGAAGAAGAGAAAGAACAGACCCACAGACCTTTCCTCATGATGCAGGCCCGTCAGTCTGAGGACCACCCACACCGCCGCCGCCGCCGTGGCCTGGAGTGTGATGGCAAGGTCAACATCTGCTGCAAAAAACAGTTTTTTGTCAGCTTCAAGGACATTGGTTGGAATGACTGGATCATAGCACCCACAGGCTACCATGCCAACTACTGTGAGGGAGAGTGCCCCAGTCACATCGCAGGCACTTCTGGCTCCTCCTTGTCCTTCCACTCCACTGTAATCAACCACTACCGCATGAGGGGGCACAGCCCCTTTTCCAACCTCAAGTCCTGTTGCGTGCCCACCAAACTGCGGCCAATGTCCATGCTGTACTATGATGATGGCCAGAACATAATCAAGAAGGACATTCAGAACATGATAGTGGAGGAGTGCGGCTGCTCCTAAGCCCTCTCCTGCCTGGTGGACAGAGGGGTCCCTGGGGCCAGGGGGTGATGGACGCACGAGAGGGAGAGATACAGGAGACGGTGAGAAGGCAACGAATGGCAAGACACAAGAGCCTCCTTTGCTGTGGAGTTTCTCTGGGAAACTTTGAAATAAAATCAATCGAAGACATATGAAGGAAATCTGCAGAACATCATTAGCCTGGGTTCGGAGAAGAAGCAGGTGAAGGAGCTGGGGACTGTGGAGGGGAGGAAGAGGACAGAATCCCCTTCTTCCCTTCTTCCTGAGGAGATCAAACTGGCTACTTTGGTGGTGGACATGCAGCAGTCTGGGCCCCTTGTTCCCTCTCAGCACGAGCCCTGAGGTCAGCTCCCCTAACTTGTCAGTCATGTGGAACCCCCCCATTCCCAAGAGCATCCAGAAAGCCACGGAGTGGAACATTCCCAGGGATTTTTGCCCTAATTTGCCAAGGCCATAGGGCATGTCTACATGCCTGTATGATATATACATATATATGTGTATATATGTATATACACATATATATGTATAGATCTCTGAGTAAAGTAGTGTATGTGCACAGTGAGACCCACATCTATATTTGCACACACTGCCTGTGGCATGAGAGAGCCTGGCAAGAAAAAGATAATGTGTTGTGCAGGGGGTCACACCTTTTCTGCATTACTTTGGAGAGAGAGAGAGAGAGAGAGAGAGAGAGAGAGAGAGAGAGAGAGAGAGAGAGAGAGAGACAAGAATGTGGGAGAAATTAGAGAACAAAGGAAGGAAAAATACCAAGTAACATTTCGTTAAGGTGCTCATGATTCTAGAACTATGCAACCTAATTGGTTTGAAACTGTTTACCTGAGAGAGAACAAAAAGAAAGACTTTTTTTTTGTATTGGAAGTAACATGATTAATTTTTTTTTTTTTGCTTCAAGGAGAGATACTTGAAAGGAACGCTGTTTGATCCAAACAGTTCTATCTTTTGTAAATGTTGTTGTTATTGTTGTTTATTGTTTCCTATTTGCACTATGATGGTGTTTGACCTGTCTAATCCTTATTTAACAAGTATTTTCGGGGGTGGGGGGTGGGAGGTAAAGAGCTGCACTTAATGTGAGCTATAGAAGAACCGCTAGCGCACACAAAATAGCTATTTTTATTATTATAATTATAATTATTGTTATTATTATTTTGTACCTTACAAATGAATAGACACGTACACCAAAGACATTTGTGTGAGCCTTTAAACAGTCTGTTTGTGATGGTGACCATTCCAAGGTGACGGGTCAGGCTTCTGGAGGAGGGGCTAGGGAGGCCGATGGGAGCAAGCTCGGAGGAAGGCCTTCCAACTCGAGCTGGCCCCTTGTTAGTACAGCCAGGAAACAGGGGACATTTCTTGCTGGACGTGCAGTAGTTGTACACTGTTGGAAATCAGATTCACGAAACAGTATATGTGTGTGCACGCCTGTCCGTCTGTGTGTGTGCAAGTAATATGCACTCACATGTGTGTGCATGCACAATACACACAAACATACATGCACAATTGTGTACACATGCCCCGTGAATGTGAACACACATGTGTATGTATGCCTACATTGTATCATGTCCACGTATTTTCAGAACTTCAGGCTGTCATCTTTAATGTTCCTAAAATAATGAATGTTTGTGTGCAAAACACAGTATTTTTAAAGAGGGTGGGATTTTATTTTTGCTTTCTCTTTGGATTGTATGGGGATCCATTGAACGTTTGGATTGAAACTGAGCTTGAAATGCCAGTGACTCTTCCAGAAGGCCCTCTCTAAAGTCACATGGGATCCCGTGCCTCCTCTTAGCTCCTCTTTCCCCCAGCTGATCCCCACCTGTCAGCCCCCACAGGTGAAAATGGGGAAGCTTCTATATCTTGAATCCTTGGTCAGTGGCAGCTTTCAGATACAAATATGCCATTAGAGACTTGCTGTGAAGGTGCTGGTTCTCTGCAAACAACTGGGCCTTTAGCAACCTGCGAGCCAATGATCAATCACTGGTATTGGTGGAAGGATTCCTATAGAATTTTCTCTTGGTTAAGCTGTCCAAAAAGTCATGATAAGAAGAGAAAAAATAGTTAGGTGGAGAGAGGGGGGAAAGGGGACAGGGGTTTAACCCCTTAAATTTTTATTTGTATCTTCAGCCAAAACTCTATGTATGTGTGAGTGTGTGTGTGTGTATGTATGTGTGCCTGCCTGTGTTTCTTTGTATTAACTGAGATGCAAAAAAAAGAAAAAAAAAGGAAAAAAAAATTTTGTTTTATAAATATCAAAGTCCATAATTATAGCTAAGTTTTCTTTAATTTATTCCACAGTATTTAGCTTGCCTAGTACCGCTATGGGTTATTCATGTATGTGCTTTTTTTATACAGATATAATTTTTTTTACAGACTTGTTTGCATCTTGCAAAAAGAAAAAAAATCTTGGAACAATTTGCTAATAATTGGGTAAAAATTAGATTCATCACTAAAATGTTCTGTAAACTATTAAGGCTTTCCAAACCTTGTCAATCTGTAGGATTCTTTACGTGTGTGTGTATATAAATACACATATATATATGTGTATATTCATATGCATATATACATACATCATACACATATGTGTACACACAGACACACACACACTGTGTTATCAGATACCGATGGGGAAGAAACAAAACCCGACCAAAGACAGAGCAGCTGTCCTTGAAAAGTCTGTGTGGTGACTGCATCTTCACCGTTGTTGGCAGGGAAAGGAAGGCTATTGTGTCTGTGTGGGAGAATGGCCACTGGGCAGCAAAGAACGAGAGGGCAGGAAACAGGCAGGGCTTCCCCATTCCTCTTTGCTAGGACACCTCCACCAGGTCAAGGTTGAGTAGCAGAAAGGGCAAGAGATAATATCGTTGCCCATGTTTCAGATTTCCTTAAAATTCTATTGGAGAGTTTGGGATCTATATCAACTATACTGGTGGGGGCATTAAAACTAGGCAAGACGAAGCCAGGTCCATTTAGTCCCAGAGTAGAACAGGGAGGGTTCCAGAATAAGAAATGGGACAAGGCTAGGGCTTATGTCCTTCCTGAATGACCAAAGGGAGAAAAGGGGAGGGAGAAATGGCAGCTTGCACGTACCTGATTATGTGTTTCTAAACTGATAAGCTCATCTCCCGATTAAACTAAAGACAAAGTATGAAGTTATCAGACAAGCGAGGGGAGGCTTGATTGGGGGATAATATAACAGGAAGCAAAAATAAATGAAAACCTATTTGATTTGAATTTTAGAAATAAAACCCAGCAACAGGAAGCATATATACTTCTGGGATGACAATTGGCACACAACCACACACACACACACACACACACACACACACAGATTTTAATCTGGTTTAATTCAATTGGCATGTCCACAGGCTAATTAGAAATCTTTACCACTTTTGAGCTGCGTGGGGGGGATGTTGGAGATTTCCCGCTTGTGCTGACCCTTTTAGAGAGCCAGTTTCTAAGTTTGAGTCCAGTTAGTTTCATGCAGCTCGGCTCTATCTGAACTTGGTTTTTCTTGAAGCTGTCTTCATTGTCGTCCTTAAGACCCTTTCTGAAAATCATGTCTATGAATAGATCACATAGACACATATATGGGTGTTTGTGCATGTGTATACACATACATATATATGCATATACACATGTGTACATGTATGCAGACATATATACCCCCTTGGGTGTATATGGGCACGTATACTCAAACCACTTTATATCTGTTATACACATACGTCTATATATTGGTGTAGCTTACCTTTCTCAAAGGGAACTAAAATTTGTAGGAACCCGGTGAAATTAATCTGATGCCTTGAAAAATCTTTTACATCCAATGTCTGTTTAAGAAAACAGGGAGAGATTACAGGGTGTTGTGGTTGTTATCTGTAGCTGTTTTGCCTGAGTCCCCTTAAAAGTAATAGTCAAGCCTTTTTCAGACACTGGCTTTAGATCACTTTATCTATAAAGAGTAATTTATGGCTGTCCATCTAGGATTGATTGCCATACTCCCTTCTCTAGAGGCTCACCTGGGCTCTCCTGAGAGTGAAAGGAAGTTTGTCCTCCCTCGGTGCAATGGAGAGGGGTCTAAATCTTGTGTCAGAGGACTTGGGTTTGAATCTTGCCTGTCCCTTTGCTGCCTGTGTGACTTTGAGTAAGTCATTTTATTTCTCCACTGGGTCTCAGTTTACTCATCTATAAAATGAGCTTGGACTAGCCAGTCTGTGGGTTCTTCCTGATTCAGCTGTATGATCCCAAGAAAGGTACGAGCTGGAGTCTCCACCCCCTTTGAGGTTCCAATTTGTACTGAACTGGGATTCCAATCATCCAGCTCCCTATAAACGCCTCCCTCCCTGTGGGCCTCCTGGCATCCTTCCTCTTGGATGTCAAAAAAATGAGTCACCCCAAAAACCTACACATAGAATGAAAACTTGAAGATGTGGGCAGGAGGGCCGGGGGAGGGAGTTGTATGGGTTTAAATTAAACCCTGTATCTTGGAGGAGCTGTTGTGTAGGTCAAAGAAAATGAATGGTTAGAAGTCCCCATCTCCATGGGCAGAAACAAATACCACTTGGGCTATATTTGCTCACTTGCTCGCTCTTTCTTTTGGATTTCAAATGAATATTTTTTTTTTCCAGATTCATCCCCTCCCTCATTTCTCCCCTCTATTTAAACACTTGGAAAACAAGATATTGACAATGGTTTAACTATTTTTCTTTAAAAAAGAAACATAATCTGAAAGCCAAGATATCCTAAAGCCTGTTTGGTTTAAACACGCTTGTGCTCTGTGGTTGCTGTTATTTTATTTTGTCTGTTTGTTTGGTTTGGGGGCCTGGGCGTCCCCCGAGCAGTGCTTTAACTAATTAAAGTTGTTAATTTATATGAGTGCATTTCAACTATGTCAATGGTTTCTGAATATTTATTGTATAGAAGGACTGGTAATTTTTTTTTATTTACAATATGTTTAAAGAGATAACAGTTTGATATGTTTTCATCTGTTTATTGTAGAAGTTATTTATTTTCATGGCATTCCATCTGATGTTTGGATATTTGGAAGACATGCGATCTCTACTTTGTACAGTTAGGGGACAATATTCATCAGCTCCTGATAGCTTCTTTGCCTTATGTTAAATAAAAATGACCTGTTTGGCCTTTATTGTTCATTCGTACTTCTATTTGAACTGTTATGATTGGTTTCCCACGGGCACTGGGACACGTAATCAGAGGTGTTATAGCCTGGGTAATAAGTTACTTTTTGGTAAGACAGGGAGGAGGGAAGAAGGAAAGGGAGAGACGGAAAGAGAGAGAGAGAGACAATAGAGAGTATGAATGAGAAAGAATGATAGGGTGAAAAGGTGGGGGAGAACACGTTGGAGGAAGAATGAGAGCAAATGAGAATCGAGTCAAGAAAAAAATAAGAAGAGTGAGAGAAATGGAATCAAAGGAAAGAAAGAAGACAATGAACAAGAGTATGAGAGGAAGTCAGCTGGACAATGGTGGGGAGAGAGAGATAGAGATGGACGGCCAAGAGAGCACACGATACATACCGTCTGTAACGAACGCCCTAAGGAGCCAGCGAGCTAGGGACTCATATTCAGGGAATATACCAAATCAGTTTAGGCTAGCTGGGGTTTTGTTTTATTCATTTTTTATCTTGCCCTTTTTCAACAACAATGGGCATAACACAAGTGAATTACATGATTATTAAACAAAAGGTATTCCCTGAGCATGAGTGATTGTCCCTTTCTACAAGTGGCTGGATAGGAAATTAAAAATAACAATAAGACAGAAAGGTTTCCAGCCCCACCTTATCCCAAAGGAGTCAGAAATAACTCCTCTCAGCTCCTTCAAGGAAGGCTGCTCCAAATATAACAAGTTCAGGGATAAGTTTGGATCTGCTGGGCCCACGAGGAATTATGAGTCCTCAGAATCTTCCATGGAGAAGACCATTCTCTACCTCATTGCTCTTCTCATGGAGGTGATGTGAGCCAAAGAAACACGCCTCCTCTTGTCTCACCCGGATAAATATTTTCTTAGAATGCTCACTGGTCATGGGGAAGAAGTATAGCTTGCAAGCTGGGGCCCTGACCATATTGAGTGTCTGGTCTTCCCTAGAGGAGGATGGTATTGTGCCGGTGTCCTTAGCTCTCTCTCTTCAATTTCTGCGTTTGACCTGTAGCACACACCTGACTGAGGGTTGCCTGGCTGCAATCTGGGCCAGCGGCTCAGAGTAAAGCCCAATAGCCACCAAAGGTTGAATGTGTGACCCAAACTTTAAACAAAGACATTAGAACCAATTGAGTTGATCCAGAATTCACGTTGACTAAAAACCTGGCCAATTAACTGAATGGTTCACTTTGTCACCAAATCACCTTCTGATCATATTCTCCTGCCCTTCAGGGTCTCCTTCCACATCCCTCCATCTTAACCTTCATCCTCCATCCAGTCTCTTAAGCCCAGCTCCAGACTCTTTCCTCTTTTCCTGGTCTTGATGTGAGAGTTAAGCAGATTAACTGGGCACTGTCCTCAACCCTTTATGCTCATGCTCCCTCTTCTCCCTCCACCCTTCGCACTGTTATGTACCCCAACACCATCTACCTTCTGGGAGAGCACAACTTAGATTTACATTTAGACTTGCATTCATTAATAGTTTGTGTTATCTAACTACAACTCCACTGCTGCCTAGCAATCTGATCATTTTGTCTTGATTGACTCTCTAACAGACTCTCCGCAGGGGCTGTTCCAGACCCACTGTTCTCTCTTCAAGACCTCAAAGCCTCTCCCACCTTCCTCCCCTATTAGCAGATGACCTTGCCTTCTACTTGACTGAGAAAATCTGTCACCTGCTTCTGGCTTCCTCGTCTCACCAACTACACACCCCAGAGCTCCTCCAAGGACCTTCTTCTCTCCCTGGGGCAGGAAATCCAGTGAGCATTGAAAATCTGCCCTGGATTTGAGATGTCCTGAGTGACCAGGGAGTGCTAAAACCCACCAAAGCCACTGGCTCCAAGCCATCCACCCACATGTCAAGTTCTCCATTCTCCCTCCCCTTCTGCCTCTTCCTCAGGAACAACAATGAAAGCAATGCCATCACGA